GCTGCTAGAGGTACTGGAGTCGCTGGTCCTGGAGGTGCTCGTACTGGAGGTACTGGAGCTGCTGGAGCTGGTGGTGCTACAGGCGTTGAAGCTGGGGATCCTGGAGCTGGAGACATCGGAGCTGGAGGCGCTGGCCCTGGGGGTGCTGGTGCTGTTGGTGCTGGTTCTGGAGATACTGGACGGCCGCGACCGTTCTTCATTCCCCTTCTTCAGCAGGTTCTTGGTCTCCCGTCTTCTACTGGCCTTACTCCTCCCTTACTGTGTCCACCGCCTGACCAGCCGCAGCCGTCGTTATAGCCAGCCTCCCCACTGCCTGCTCCTTCTTCTTACACTGAGCTGACCGGAGGTATTACAGAGCGTCGTGAGCCTGTGTCTCGTCCTGCCTCGCCTGTTCGCGCTGTTCGCACTGGTCGTCGTGTTCTTCGTCCGCGTCCTCCTCGTGTCCCCGGCACGCACCATATGGCACTTCGTCCTTCCTCTGTTCCACAGCGTGTCCCCCTGCCATCTCCTCCTGCGTCCTCTCTTGCTCACGGTCCGGACCCTGAGTCTCACTTAGTTCATGCTGCCAGTCCTACTGTCCCTCGTCTTCTAGCCACTTTTGTCACTGACCCTTTGTTTGAGTCTGCTGCTGCGTCTGCCCTAGTTGCTTGTTGACTTTGCTGCCGCCTATCGTCTCAACTTCGCCACTAGTCTTGTTGCTGAGTCTGAGTGTGACTGTCCTCCGTCCATCGGGGGTGAGTATGCTCTTGGCACGGATGTCCTTGAGGACAGGCAGGAGGACTTTGAGTATTTTGCAGCTGCTGTACCTCATCTCGTGTCTATGCTGATTCCACCTGAGGGAGACCCGGATGCACCAGACATCCCGACCCCGCGCTCTTACGCAGAGGGGATTACGGGTCCCTACTTCTCTAAGTAGCAGATAGCCATGGACGCAAAGATGGCATCCTTGAAGTCTACAGGAACTTACGTCGACGCAGTTCCCCCTCCTGGGGCGAACATAGTCGATGGCATGTGGATTTTCAGGGTAAAGCGGCCGCCGGGTTCTCCGCCTGCCTTCAAGGCTCATTACGTCGCACGCGGCTTCAGTGTGCGTCAGGGGGTCGACTACTTCCAGACCTTCTCCCCCACCCCGAAGATGACTACTCTTCGGGTACTGCTGCACGTCGCCGCTCAGCGTGACTACGAGTTTCACTCTCTTGACTTCAGCACAGCTTTGTTACAGGGCAGCCTGCACGAGGAGATCGGGCTGCGCCGCCCACCTGGCTTTACTGGGTTGTTTCCTGCAGGTACCCAATGGAGCCTCCGGCGGCCAGTCTACGGTCTCCACCAGGCGCCTTGCGAGTGGCACAACACTCTGAGGACGATGCTTACGGCTCTTGGTTTTGCTCCTTCTACTGCTGACCCGTCGCTGTTTCTACGCACCGACACTTTGCTGCCGCCGTTCTACGTCCTCGTGTACGAGGACGACTTGGTCTTTGCCTCTGCTGACACTGAGACACTGGCCCTTGTGAAGTCGGAGCTGCAAAAGAGACACACCTGTACTGACCTGGGTGAGCTGCGCAGCTATCTTGGCTTGCAGATCACCCGGGACAGAGCACGGCGCACCATCACCCTGACTCACTCACACATGGTGCACCAGGTCCTTCAGCGTTTCGGCTTCCGGTACTCCTCGCCACAGTCCACTCATCTGCCTACCAGTCACTCGCTCTCAGCTCCACCTTCGGACGAATCCGTAGAGCCGAGTGGCCCGTATCCAGAGCTTGTGGGCTGCCTCATGTACCTGATGACCTGCACTCGACCTGACCTTGCCTACCCTCTTAGCATCCTGGCACGCTACGTTGCGCCCGGGAGACACCGACCAGAGCACTAGGAGGCCGCTAAGAGGGTGTTGCGCTACTTGTGCAGTACGTCGGGCATGGGGCTCATGCTTGGAGGACGTGGTCCAGTTGTTCTCAATGGACACGCAGACGCTTCTTGGGTTGACGACTTGGCTACTCAGTGGTCGTCACAGGGTTACACTTTCAGCCTTGGCTCCAGCTTTGTTTCTTGACGGTCTACCCGTTCGTCTTCTATTCTCAGTTCCAGTTGTGAGGCTGAGATCTACGCAGGGGCCATGACTGCACAGGAGTTACGCTGGCTCATCTACGTGCTGACGGGCTTGGGAGAGCGGGCTCGTTCTTCTCCAGTTCTGTACGTAGACAACAAGGCCATGATTGCCTTGTGTTAGGAGCACAGACTCGAGCACAGAACGAAGCACATCGCTCTACGTTACTTCCTTGCTCGAGAGTTGCAGCAGTGTGGTCAGCTTCGTCTTGCGTACGTGGCCACTAGGGCCAACACTGCTGATATATTCACCAAGGCACTTCAGTCTGGTGATCATCAGCGTTTCTATACTGTCTTAGTCCTTGTGCCTTCCTTGCCTCACTTGCTCACTGCGTGACTTTGCTTGTACTGTGATCTATGTACATATACCTGCATGCTTACTCTTGTTAGGGTATGATCACTGTACTGTTTGTTCTCTTTTATATAACTCTGCATGTGAACTGGCCTTGTGGCCTTTGCTTGTGCTCAAAATGTGTGGTGACTTCATGATCCACCCTGAGCTTGCTTTGCTTTTCTTGATTGGTCTTGTGACCACTTGTTCTCCCACACTTTGCCTATGGGGGTGTGTCAAAATGTTATATAGCTTACTTTGTGTAGGCTATAGTGGGGTAGCCCATAAGGGGTACAACCCAATTAGGGTTAGTACTTGTGCCCAACTTCTGTTCAATGCATTCATTCTCGTTCTAGTTTCTAACATTTCAACATTGCACCTGCACCACTCTCCACTCCTTACTGCACTCCAGGACCCAACCAGAAGCCTGACAACAAAGCCCTGTCCCCTGCTAGGCTTCACACCTACCAGCAGCAGCTAGGATTCCTACTCTTCGCCTCTGTTACCTGCAGGCCTGATCTCTCCTACATCGCGAGCCAGTTGGCTCAGTACTCTCGCAAACCAACGGCTGAGAATCTGCTAGATCTTCAGCGGGCACTCCAGTTCTTGATCTCCATGCCCAATGTTGGGCTCTGCTACTCCACCATCCCAACCGCGTCCTTTAACCTTATCGGCTACTCGGACGCTGATCATGCAGTAGACCCCGACAATCGACGGTCCAGGACAGGCTTCCTTTTCCGCCTTGAGCCCTGCGGTCCCATCTCCTGTAATTCGCAGAATCAGGAGCTGGTTGCCCTGTCATTAGTAGAGGCCGAATTCATCGCAGAAACAGCAGCCATTCGTGAAGGCCTCTACCTTCAGGAGCTACTGCAGGAGGCGAAAATTCCAGCCTCGGCGAACTTTCGTCTGCACTTCGACAACTAGAGCGCGATCAGGATCGCGAACAAACCCGGATTCGTCAACCGCACCAAGCACATCGTGCTACGGAACTTCTTCGTCAAGGACGAAGTTGACAAGGGCAAGGTTGATCTAACCTACTGCCGGACGGGTGACATGGCAGCCGACTTCCTCACGAAGCGACTGTCACGTCAGCAGTATCAGCACTGCTCCGAACTCAGCGGAGTAGTCAAGCGAGTCAAGGCTCGCTACGGCCAGGAGTGAAGGGGGGTGTTACGAATAGTAATTGACGAAGCATTATTGTGCACTCCTCACCGTAGCTAACGAAGCACGCACTACCGAGGCTGAAGACGAAAAGGTGGAAGTGACGCGAAGGGTCGTACGGTTACGAAAGGATCCTAACCGTCGGGCAGACATCATCAGGCAGCAACAGAGGCAAGGATTCTGCCCAGGCAGTTCGTAACCGTCAGGAGTCGCACGGTTGGGTTTCGTTGCAATAAGGGAATGTATCCCTTAGAGTACATGGCTAGACTAGGTCGATTGGTATTCCCTTGTACTCTTATTTATATTCATGTACTTGCATGTTTTTTTCATCTTAAACATTTTACATCCACTCTGCTGTTGGGGTCAAGGGCCCACCACAACTACTGAGACGTATGCGAACCTTTCTGAGGTGATCCTAGGGTCGATCAATAACTGATCGCAACAGTATTTTAAGAAAGTTCGAACTCCACGAGTTGAAAATATCATTTCATAACGAACAATATTTTGCTGGTTCAAGATATCCAAGACTTCTGGTTTGTTGGTTTAAAATATGTTATAAGATTTTCAGATTCTCGAACACATTCGACTCCATTCACTGTAGAGCGACAGCCTTCACCACATCCTCGTCACTGCATCTAGCGCACTGTCCAACATCAAGCCTCCCTCACCTCCTGCTCTTCAAGCGAACCAACCTTTTCATGTCAGGGGCAGTCATGAGGGCTTGTTCACAGGTCATGCATCGAAGTTCAGAAAGGTTATTAGCGGTTCAAGTCGGTGCTTTTACAAAACCTCTTCAAATTGCACAGCATCGTGCCCAACCATTTCTATGCAGCAACGACACTGCTTTGCAGTACATCAAACTCATCCTTCCATTGATACCAGTCAGCCATGGCGTATGTTTCACATCACTTGTGCTAATCCCAGCATCACAGCAAGCACTTAGGGAGTTCTGACCTCCTTGTTATTGCTGTTCCATTTCCTGCGCTAACCGCCCCGCATCCGTAAGCCTGAACAATGAAAGCGGAGTGAAAGCTGCATCCATGAAAGCAGGTTGAAGGCTGTACGAATAAAACTAGGAACGTAGGAACGAAAAAGGAGGGTTCGGAGTTCTGGTTTCCGTGGTGTTTTTTCTGCTGCCGTCACTGGCAAGGGCGTAGCGTAACGACACATCAGCATAGTCCACTTTTATCCACACATAATTGAATTTCGTGTGCCTGTCGAGATAAATAAGTGCGGGATACGCCGTCGTGCAGAGAACCGCCGTGTTCGCCTCCCTGAATCGGCTGAAACAACCACCCTCCTCGCGGATACACCGTAAATTGATATCTTTACCGTTCTCAACCGCATCGTCATCACCTCCGCCAACCCCACACCTTCGTCCTATCTCGTCCCCGAGTCGCCCGCCATGAATCAGCCGCGTCGCAAGTCGGCGTTCCGCATCGAGCCGTTTCGGCACAAGGTGGAGATGGACCCGCGATACGCGGAGAAGACGTGGGGCATTCTCGAGGACGCCATTCACCAGATCTACAACCACAACGCCTCGGGGCTCAGCTTCGAAGAGCTCTACCGGTACGCCCTCCGTCCTTCTCGAGGTGCCGCCCTGTCCTTCTTGAGGTCCCTGGTTCCTCCCTTGCCCCCTCCCTCGGCGTGCGGCATTCTCGGAGCGCCCATCCACGGCATCTACAACCACAACGTCGCGGCGCAGCTTAGAAGAGCTCTACCAGTACGCGCCTCCGTCCTTCTCGAGGTGCCACCCTGTCCTTCTAGAGGTCCCTGGTTCCTCCCTTGTTCCCTCCCTGGCGCGCGGCATTCTTGAGGGCGCCATTTACCGCATTTACAACCACAACGCCTCCGGGCTCAGCTTCGAAGAGCTCTACCGGTACGTGCTTCCTTCCTCCCTGCCTCGCGCCCTCCCGTGCTCCCTCCCTCGGCGTGCGGCATTCTCGAGGACGCCATTCGGCGGTCTACAGCCACAACGCATCCGGCCTCAGCTTCTAAGAGCTCTACGCCACGCTAATTACTCTCCCTTTTTCCCTCCCCTCCCGTTATGTTCTCTTTCATCTCTCACCCCCCCAACAGCAACGCGTACAACATGGTGTTGCACAAGTATGGCGACCGCTTGTACACGGGGCTGGTAATGGCGGCGCTAACAGTGTCTACCTCCTCTCTCCACCTGTATCTCTTCCGCCACCTCCCCCCTCCATCAGCAACGCGTACAACATGGTGTTGCACAAGAACGGCGACCGCCTGTACGCGGGGCTGGTTAGGTTAGCATGCTAAGAGCATCTTTCCTTTGTCTCCTCTGTGCCTTCCCTCTGTCCCGTCCCCGCGTGGCCCCCTTCACCTCCCCATTCGCAGCAACGCGTACAACATGGTGCTGCACAAGTACAGCGACCGCCTGTATGCAGGGCTGGGAGGCGCGCTAAGACTGTCTTCTTCCCCCCTTCCACCCCCCTCCCTCCTCTCCCCCCCCTCCCCCCCCCCCTCACAGCAACGCGTACAACATGATGCTGCACAAGTACGGCGACCGCCTCTACGCGGGGCTGGTGGTGGCCGTGCTAACAGTGTCTTTCCGCTGTTCCTCCCTCTGTCTCCCCCCTGTGTCACAGCAATGCGTACAACATGGTGCTGCACAAGTACGGCGACCGCTTGTACGGAGGGCTGGTAGGCATGAGAGGAGATGTCTGTCTCCTCTTTCCCCCTGTGTCTACTCCCTAACTTTCCTGTCATCCTACCGCCCCTCACCCTCACAGCAACGCGTACAACATGGTGCTGCACAAGTACGGCGACCGCCTGTACGCGGGGCTGGTGAGCACCATGACGGCACATCTTAAGGGCGTGGCTGCTGCTATTGAGGCCGCCCATGGTCCTCTCTTCCTCAACGAGCTGGATGCGAGGTGAGGGGAATGAGGTGGAGAATGAGTGTCATGTGTGCATGAGTGTGATTCCCTTCTCCTCTACGTGGGGCTGGTGGGCACCATGACGGCGCACCTCAAGGGCGTGGCTGCTGCTATTGAGGCGGTCCATGGTCCGCTGTTCCTCAACGAGCTGGACGCCAGGTGGGTTTCTATAGAGGTGCGGGGTTAGATTGAGGTAGGTGGTAGTACGAGGAGAATGAGGTGCGTGGGTGCTGGTGCTGCTCTGTTCAGGTGTGCGCTGGTGCGTGCATGCTGCATCCTGGTGGGTTGGTTTGACAGCTGCTATGCTCACACATATCCTAGCCTCTTCCTGTTCCTCTATTCCCAGGTGGCACGACTACTACGGCAAGTCCCTGCAGATGATCCGAGACATGCACATGCACATGGACATGGACATGGACATGTACATGGACATGGACATGGACATGGACATGGACATGTACATGGATGGACCGAACCTACCTACGTGCCCAATGTTGCCATGCTGTTACTTCTCGTTCCCTCTCTTCTCCCCCCCTTCCCCCTTCCCCCTTTCCCCCTCTCTCTCTCTCTCCTCACTCCCAGGTGGCACGACCATGGCAAGTCCCTCCAGATGACCCGACACATCCGCATCGCATGCACATGGACCGCACTGACCTATGTGACCAATGCTTCTGCCTTTCACTCTTTTCTCCCCTTCCGACTCCTTTTCCCCGCCTCTCCACCCTTCTCCCAGGTGGCACGACTACGGCAAGTCCCTGCAGATGATCCGAGACATCCTAATGTACATGGCCCGCACCTACGTGACCAATGCTGCTGCCCTGCTCTCACCTCTCTTTCCGACTCTTCTGCCCCCCACTTTCCCCTCCCCGCCTCCATTCTACCCCCAGGTGGCACGACTACGGCAAGTCCCTTCAGATGATCCGAGACATCCTAATGTACATGGACCGCACCTACGTGACCAATCACAACAAGACACCTGTGCACGACCTGGGCCTCGCCCTCTGGCGCGACCACATAGTCCGCGCCCCCGCCATCCGCCCGCGCCTCCTCTCCACCCTCCTCTCCCTCATCCACCAAGAGCGCTCGGGCGAAGTGATTAATCGCGCCCTCATGCGATCCATATCGTCCATGTTCGCGGATCTCGGCCCGGCGGTGTATTCGGAAGATCTGGAGCGTCCGTTTTTGGAGGCCTCCGCGGCGTTTTACCGGGGGGAGGCGCAGCGGCATCTGGGGACGTGTGACTGCGCGGATTACTTGAGGGTGGCGGAGAGGCGGTTGGAGGAGGAGGGGGAGCGCGTGGCGCAGTACCTGGATGCGCGCACAGAGGGGAAGGTGACGGGCGTGGTGGAGAGGGAGATGGTGGGGAACCATTTGAGGTTGCTCGTTGATATGGAGAACTCTGGGTTGGTTCCCATGCTGGTCAATGACAAGTATGAGGTGCGTTGAGTGGGGCTCTCTCATCTCGTGTGTTGATGGGGAGACTGTGAACGGTGGAGCGCGAGATGGTGGGGAACCATCTCAGGTTGCTCGTGGACATGGAGAACTCTGGGCTCGTGCCCATGCTCGTTAACGACAAGTACGAGGTGAGACGGGGTTGCCTTTTCCTGTCGTGGTGGTTGGTATGGGAGTTGGTGCGCACGGGGGAGGTTGGAGGAGGAGGGGGAGCGCGTGGCGCAGTACCTGGATGCGTGCACGGAGGGGAAGGTGACGGGCGTGGTGGAGAGGGAGATGGTGGGGAACCACCTCAGGCTGCTCGTGGATATGGAGAACTCTGGGCTCGTGCCCATGCTGGTTAATGACAAATACGAGGTGAGAACGGGTTGTTCCCTCTTCTGTCTCTGCCTATCTGTGAGATGGTGGGGAACCACCTCAGGTTGCTCGTGGATATGGAGAACTCTGGGTTGGTGCCCATGCTGGTCAACGATAAGTACGAGGTGCATGTGTGGGGCTCTTTAATCTCGTGTGTTGATGGGTGGCTGGACTGTGGACAGTGGAGCGCGAGATGGTGGGGAACCACCTCAGGCTGCTCGTTGATATGGAGAATTCCGGGCTCGTTCCCATGCTGTCAACGATAAGTACGAGGTGCGTGAGAGGGGGTTGCTCTTCCTTCCTACTTGGATGCGCGCACGGAGGGGAAGGTGACGGGCGTGGTGGAGCGCGAGATGGTGGGGAACCATCTCAGGCTGCTGGTTGACAAGGAGAACTCAGGGCTGGTTGACAAGTAGAGGTGCGTTGAGTTTTCTCCCTACCTCCCTCCTCCGCTCCTTCTCTCCCCCCATCCCCCCTCCTTCCATCTATGGCTGCTGGTTGACATGGAGAACTCAGGGCTGGTGCCCATGCGGGTGAACGACAAGTAGAGGCGCGTGAGTGGAGCCTGGTCCCTCTTCTCTCTCTGCCTTTCTCTCGCGAGTGGGTGGGTGGGTGAGTATGCGATGGCGGGGAAGCATCTGCAGCTGGTGGTGCACAGCACAGGGATAGTTGAGCACGCGCTTGGTGCTCATGTGATAAAATTAGTGTTTTGAGACGTCTCAAAAGTCAACTCGCGCTTGGTGCTCATGTGATAAAAGTAGTGTTTTGAGACGTCTCAAAAGTCAACTCGCGCTTGGTGCTCATGCTGGTCAATGCCAAGTACAGGGTGCGTGCACCGTGCACTTTTGACTCGACTCAAAAGTCAACTCAAAAGTCAACTCGCGCTTGGTGCTCATGCTGGTCAATGACAAGTACAGGTGCCCTACCCCCCCTCATCCTCCCCCCCCTCAGGACATTGCGCGCATATATCACCTGCTCAAGTGTGTGCCATAGGGACATACGATGCGGGAGGTGTGTGCGCATGTGAGGGAGGGAACCTCAGAGGCGTATCTCCCCATCCTCATCACTCCCCCAGGTGGGGTGTCAGGCAGTGAACCAACTACTTATCCACATTGCCCCTGCTTGCTCCCCCGCTCCCCCCTCCTCCCCTTCCTACATCCCTCTCAGGACATTGCGCGCATGTACCGCCTGCCTGCCTGCTCAAGCACGTGCCGGCGGGAGGTGATTTCAGGGCACCTGAGCTGAGAGCCGTATCCCCTCTTCCTCACCTCTCTCATCACGGATCTTCCTTCCCCATTGCCCCTTCTATCCCCCCACTTCCCCCCCACTCGATCACGACATTGCGCGCATGTATCACCTGCTCAACTGTGTGCTCCCTGGTCTTGGGACATGTTCTCGGCACCCGCTTGAGCAGGCGGGACATTGCGCGCATGTATCACCTGCTCAACTGTGTGCTCCCTGGTCTTGGGACATGTTCTCGGCACCTGCTTGAGCAGGCGGGACATTGCGCGCATGTATCACCTGCTCAACTGTGTGCTCCCTTCCGTCCTCCCTGCCCCCCCCCACCTTCAGCATGTACCGCCTGCTCAAGCGCGTGCCGGCAGGGCTGCAGACGATGCGGGAGGTCATGTCAGGGCACCTGAGCTGAGAGCCGTTTCCTCCCTTCCCCGCCACTCCCATCATTAATCTTGCTCTCCCCTTCCCCCCTCCCACTCCCCCTCCGCCCACCTTCCCCCCTCAGGACATTGCGCGCATGTACCGCCTGCTCAAGCGGGTGCCGAGGGGGCTGCAGGGATTGCTGGCACGGTGTCACTGTCTCTTCTATTCCTCCCCTCCCCTCCCCCCCCCACCTTCAGGACACCGCGCGCATGTACCGCCTGCTCAAGCGCGTGCCGGCAGGGCTGCAGACGATGCGGGAGGTCATGTCAGGGCACCTGAGCTGAGAGCTGTATACCCGCCCAACCTTATATGCTTCCCACCCCCTCCCCCTCAGGACATTGCGCGCATGTACCGCCTGCTCAAGCGCGTGCCGGCAGGGCTGCAGACGATGCGGGAGGTCATGTCAGGGCACCTGAGCTGAGAGCTGTATACCCGCCCAACCTTATATGCTTCCCACCCCCTCCCCCTCAGGACATTGCGCGCATGTACCGCCTGCTCAAGCGCGTGCCGGCAGGGCTGCAGACGATGCGGGAGGTCATGTCAGGGCACCTGAGCTGAGAGCTGTATACCCGCCCAACCTTATATGCTTCCCACCCCCTCCCCCTCAGGACATTGCGCGCATGTACCGCCTGCTCAAGCGCGTGCTGGGGGGGCTGCACAAAGACGATGCGGGAGGTGATGTAGGGCTGTAAATCTGAGAGCTGTAAATCCCCCCAACCTTATATCCCGCCCCCTCCCCCCTTACCAGGACATTGCGCGCATGTACCGCCTGCTCAAGCGGGTGCCGAGTGGGCTGCAGACGATGAGAGACGCCGTGATCTAACTAATATTCCCCATTGCTCCCTTCCGTCCTCCCTGCCCCCTCCCCACTCTATCAGGACATTGCGCGCATGTATCGCCTTCTGAAGCGTGTGCCAAGTGGCCTGCAGACGATGAGGGAGGTGATGTCGGGGCATTTGAGGGAGACGGGCCGGCAGCTGGTCACTGATCCGGACAGGTAAGGCGGTGGGGGGTTGTGAGGGGGGTTTGTGGCGGTGCTGGAGTGGAAGTGTGCGAATGTGATGTGTTGAGGTGATGTCGGGGCACCTGAGAGAGACAGGCCGGGAGCTCGTCACTGACCCTGACAGTTGTGGTGGTGGGGGGTATGGGGTTGGAGACTTGGAGTTGGGGTGGGGGTTGGGGGGGGTGTAAGCGCGCGCGTGCCGAGTGGCCTGCAGAGGACGCGGGAGGTGATGTCAGGGCATCTCAGAGAGACCGGCAGGCAGCTTGTCACAGACCCGGAGAGGTATGGGGGGGGGGTGGAGATGGGGTGAGGTTGGGGAGATTGGATGTGGTTGTGTGTGCAGACGATGAGGGAGGTGATGTCGGGGCACCTGAGAGAGACAGGCAGGCAGCTTGTCACAGACCCCGACAGGTATGATGATGGTGGGGGAGGGTGGGGTAGGGTAGGGGTTGGGGTGGGTGTAAGTGGGTGTGGTTGTGTGGGTGGGAGGAGGGAGGTGATGTCAGGGCACCTCAGGGAGACGGGCAGGCAGCTGGTCACAGACCCGGACAGGTATGGCAGTGGGTGAGGGTGGGTGTTGGCAATGGGCGTAGGTGGGTGTGGTTGTGTGTGCAGACGATGCGGGAGGTGATGTCGGGGCACCTCAGAGAGACGGGCCGGCAGCTTGTCACAGACCCGGACAGGTGTGGTGGTGGGGAGGGTGGGGCGGGGTGGGCAGTGGGTGTGTGCAGACGACGCGGGAGGGGATGTCGGGGCACCTGAGAGAGACGGGCCGGCAGCTCGTTACCGATCCTGGGTGTAAGTGGGTGTAAGTGGGTGTGCTTGTGTGTGCAGACGATGCGGGAGGTGATGTCAGGGCACCTGAGAGAGACCGGCAGGCAGCTTGTCACTGACCCAGACAGATGTGGTGGAGTGTGATGTGATGAGTAGCAGACAATGCGGGAGGTGATGTGTTGTGAGTTGAGATGTCGGGGCACCTGAGGGAAATGGGCAGGCAGCTTGTCACTGACCCCAACATGTGTGGTGGTGATTGCATCATCAACGCACCTACGAGGAGTGTATGAGTGGGAGGATGGGGTTGGTTGTACGTGTGCTGCCATGTGTGTGTGTGTGTGCGATGAGTTGAGATGACGGGGCATCTGAGGGAGACGGGTGGGTAGCTTGTGACTGACCTGACAGGTGCGCATGCGAGAATGCAGGTGGGTGAGAAAGCGTTTTTTAGTGAGTGTTAGAAAGAGAGTGTGTGTGGAAGGGTGTGTGAGATAGAGTGTGTATGGAATCTGTGAGATAAATGTCATCCCTTTATTATGGGCCCTCGCTGTAAACCATTTCTTCCCATCCTCAACCCCCCCCCCCCCCCCCCCCCCTCATGCAGGTGCAAGGACGGAGTTGGTGCAGCGCCTCATGGAGGAGAAGGACAAGTACGATCAAATCATCTCTGCTTCATTCTGCCCCTCCCTGTTCCACACCTCCACACCCCTCCCTCTTCACTCCTTCAGGTGCAAGGACCCCGTTGAGTTTGTTCAGCGCCTGCTGGAGGAAAAGGACAAGTACGACCGCATCATAGCCGCCTTGTTCGCCTTCCTCCTCCGCTCTCCTCCTTTCTCCTCCCCGCCTCTCCCCTCCCAACACACCAGGTGCAAGGACCCGGTCAAGTTTGTGCAGCAGCTGCTGGAGGAGAAAGACAAGTATGATTGCATAATCACACTCCCTTGGTAACCCTTCACTCCTCACCACTCCTTCCCATCCCACACACACCAGGTGCAAGGACCCGGTGGAATTCGTGCAGCGGCTCTTGGAGGAAAAGGACAAGTACGACCGCATCATCTCAGCCTCCTTTGCTTCAGACAAAGCCTTCCACACCGCCCTCTCCACCGCCTTTGAGTTCTTCCTCAACCTCAACGCGCGCGCTGCCGAGTACATCTCTCTCTTCATAGACGACAAGCTGCGCAAGGGGCTCAAGGGAGCGAGCGAGGAGGAGGCGGAGGCGGTGTTGGATAAGGTCATGATGCTGTTCCGGTTCCTCCACGAGAAGGACGTGTTTGAGAAGTATTACAAGCAGCACTTAGCTAAGCGCTTGCTGTCGGGGAAGACGGTTTCGGATGATGCGGAGCGGAGCTTTATTGTGAAGCTTAAGACTGAGTGTGGGTACCAGTTTACGTCGAAACTCGAGGGCATGTTTCTGGATATGAAGACGTCTCAGGATACGATGCGCGCGTTTCACTGCGCGTTACAGGCTGAGGCAGCGGCAGCGGCAGTGGCGACGGGAGGGGGGGGAGTGGTGGAGGAGAGGGGGGGCGGGGAGGGAGAGGTAGAGGATCCTGCTAGTGGGGTTGCCGCCGCTGCCGCTGCTGCTGCTGCTACTGGCTTTCGGGAGGAAGGAGGGGATGAGGGTGGGGAGGAGGAAGGGGAAGGGTCGGCACGTGGGGGAGCAGCAGCGGTCCGCACCGAACCAGATCTTGCCCTCACCGGACCGTCTGGTACGGCAGCAGGCTCGGGAGCCGGCTCGTCATCATCATCAGCGGCAGGAGGGGCGGCAGCGGGTGGATTATTCCAGGGGCCGACTCTATCTGTCCAGGTGTTAACTACAGGGTCTTGGCCTACTCAGGCGGGCGCCAGATGCAACCTCCCCGAGGAGATCCTGCCCATCTGCGAGAAGTTCACAAGGCACTACCTGACGACGCACACCGGGCGGCGGCTGACGTGGCAGATGAACATGGGGCATGCGGACGTGAAGGCCACGTTTGAGTCGCGGAAATACGAGCTGTCCGTGTCGACCTACCAGGTGGGTGGGTGGGGCTTTTGGTAATCAGTCAGGTGGGTGCGGTACCGACCTTGTTTGATTCTGTTTGTTTAACACCCTTCTCCCCCCCCCCCCTCTCTTCCCCCACCACAGATGTGCATTTTGATGCTGTTCAACACGCATGATTCGCTGACATATCGCGACATAGAAGCGGCCACCGATATCCCATCAGCCGACCTGCGCCGCAACCTGCAGTCGCTGTCGCTGGTGCGAGGCAAGAACGTGCTGAGGAAGGAACCCGTGGGGAAGGAGGTGGGGGATGATGACACGTTTCACTTCAACCACAAGTTCACTTCAAAGTTCTTCAAGGTGAGAAAAGGGCGGAGATGGGGCGCTAGCGTGAGAGGGAAGGAGAGCATGCAACCTGCAGTCGCTGTCGCTGGTGCGAGGCAAGAACGTGCTGAGGAAGGAACCCGTGGGCAAGGAGGTTGGGGACGATGACACGTTTCACTTCAACCACAAGTTTACCTCCAAGTTCTTTTAGTTCTGCCGCAGATAGAGGCAGCCATAATGCTTCCCTTCCCTGTTCCTTAATCTCTTTTCCCTTTGCCTCCCTTTTGTCCGCCTGCATGTGAAGATTGGCACCATTTTTGCGCACAAGGAGACGGAGCCGGAGAAGGCAGAGACATGCTTCCTTCTCTTCAATGTGTTCCCCTCCGCTGCCCATGTATCGCCCCGCAGCTGAAGATCGGGACCATATCCACCCAGAAGGAAACAGAGCCGGAGAAGGCGTAGACGAGGCAGAAGGTGGAGGAGGACAGGAAGCCGCAGATAGAGGCGGCGATAGTGCACATCTTGAAAGCATGGCTTCTCTTTCCCTCTGCCTCAACCTGTATCCATTTGCCCACCATCTATCGGCCTGCAGGTGAAGATCGGCACCATCTCTGCCCAGAAGGAGACGGAGCCGGAGAAGGCGGAGACGAGGCAGAAGGTGGAGGAGGATAGGAAGCTGCAGATAGAGGCTGCCATCGTGTTCCCTCTGCCTCCCTTTTGTCAGCTCAGAAGGAAACGGAGAGGCAGAAGGTGGAGGAGGACAGGAAGCCGCCGATAGAGGCTGCCACCTTGGAAGCATGGCTTCCCTTTTCCTGTGCCTGAACTTGTTTCCCTTTGCCGCCTATCTGCCTGCAGGTGAAAATTGGCACCATATCAGCGCAGAAAGAAACGGAGCCGGAGAAGGCGGAGACGAGGCAGAAGGTGGAGGAGGACAGGAAGCCGCAGATAGAGGCGGCGATAGTGCGCATCATGAAGTCGCGACGCATGCTGGATCACAACAACCTTGTCAGGTGAGCTTGTAAAGGGTACGGTAGTGTTGGGCAGCTTGTGAGGAGGACAGGAAGCCGCAGATAGAGGCTGCAATTGTTTGCATCATGAAGTCGCGACGCATGCTGGACCACAACAACCTTGTCAGGTGAGCTTATAAAGGGTACGGCACTGTTTGGCTGCTACTTGGAAGAGATAGGAGCCGCAGTGAGCCGCAGAGTGCTTATCCCGTCTCTGTTCCGTGTTTCCCCTGTGCTTCCACTGTGCAGCGAGGTGAAAAAGCAGCTGCAGGCGCAATTCCCGCCCAACCCTTTGGGCCTGTGGTGATCAAGAAGCGCATAGAGGGCCTCATAAAGAGGGAATGAGTGACAGAAAGGTTCTGATCCAGCCTCTGTTCCCTGCTTCCTCTGCTTCCCTTGTGCTCCTCCTGTGCAGCGAGGTGACAAAGCAGCTGCAGGCGCGCTTCCTGCCCAACCCAGCGGTGATCAAGAAGCGCATAGAGAGCCTTATAGAGCGAGAGTTCCTGGAGCGCGACCGCAACGACCGCAAGCTCTACCGCTACCTCGCTTGATGCCTGTCTTTGCTTAATGTTACGCTCAAGAGCGAGTCCAGAAGTCTCCAAGAGACATGTACCGTACCCTACATACAGAGCCTCATAGAGAGGGAGTTTCTGGAGCGCGAAGGCAACGACCGCAAGCTCTACCGCTACCTTGCTTAAAGCGAATCTTCTAACTTCCAATTGCTGCTTATAGTGGATCTTGAGTGGGGTTTAATGTTACGCTCACGAGCGACTCCAGAAGTCTCCAAAACAAATGTACCGTACCCTACATTGAGCCTCATAGAGCGGGAGTTTCTGGAGCGCGACGGCAACGACCGCAAGCTCTATCGCTACCTCGCTCAAAACTGACTCTAGATGACACTTCTTGACACAACCATACAGGAGCAGATTTAGAGTGGCCAAAACTGCCGTGTTTCTTTGCTGCTACCGTTCAATTTGACTGTTTCTCATGTAGCTCAAAGTGACTACAGAAGCAATGAGGTGGATTATGTTGGGCTGAAAAACCCTTAGGATCTTTGCAGGGGTGAACTCTGGGTAGAGTTGGTGTAGTAGCGGAAGCGTTGATTAAAGAGTTGTGAACCACCTTGCACTAGTATGTGAGGGCAAAGTAAGTTGATTAAAACAAAGAGATACAAGCTTTTATAAGAGTACAAGGAATACGAAGAGATACAGTTAATAACCGTTTTACTATTGCTGTTGCGGTTCGATACGGTGACGAATCGGGCAACTGCTCAATACCGAGTCAGTTGTTTGTCCTTGCTGTCGCGCTGTACTTTGTCAGGTCAAAGGTCGCTGACCTTTGACTTTCGCGTAACCTCCAACAGTTACTTTCAACCTCCGAGGGTTGACTCGCCGGTGATTCGTTATACTTCGTTTCTTTTGTGTCTTAGTGTTTCGACACGACAGAGGCGCTTAGGACTGATTGTTTCCAACACTCCCCTTCGCTTCTGGCGTGTCGCTGACGTGGCTCTGTCCAGTCAGCAACATGCAGTATTCGAACTTCTGCTTTCCGAGCTTCTTGGTCAGGTAGTCAGCTGCCATCTCAGACGTGGGACAGTATGACAGCTCGAGCCTTCCCTTCTCGATCTCGTCCTTCACGAAGAAATATCGCAGGGCGATGTGTTTCGTCCTGTTTGCGAAGCCGTTCTTGTTGGCGATGCGAATTGCTGACTGGTTGTCGCAGAACAGGGTAAAGTTGGGTAACTCGGCTAACTTCGCTTCTTCCAGCAGCTCGCGAAGATAGAGTCCTTCCTTGGTGGCTGAGCAGAGTGCAATATATTCTGCTTCAGCTGACGAGAGAGCAATTAATTCCTGCTTGCTCGACTGCCAAGAGATAGGTCCGATAGGTTCGAGGCGGTAGATGTAGCCGGTGCGGGAGCGCCTATTGTCGGAGTCGCCAGCGTGATCAGCGTCGACGTAGCCGATTAACTTAGTCGGTGTGGTTGCGTTCTTGTAGTAAGTTAGGCCGATCGTTGGGGTGCTGACGAAGTAGTGAAGAGTGCGGTCGAGCTCCGCCAGATGTTCTGCTTCAGGCTTCTTGAGGTAGGTGGCGAGCTGGCTTGCGGAGTATGAGAGGTCGGGGCGACAGGTGACTTCTGCGAAGAGAAGACATCCCAGCTTCTTCTGGTAGTCTCGTATGCCGGCGGGCTTGAGTAGAGCGGAGCTTCCTTTGTCGTTCCCTGCCGTGTAGCGGTATGGCGTGGAGATGGCTGTCGGTGTGAGCGTAAAGCGTTTGGCGATGGTGTCGGCATATTTCTCGGCGCTGAGGTAGATCGCGTCCTCCTCTTCCCGGATGTTGAGGCCGAGGTACTGAGTGACGGTAGATGAAACTGTGAGCGTGAGATCTCGCTGCAGCTCCCCTTCGAACCAGGTAGTGATGCCGTCATTCGAGCCGATGTAAAGGAGATCGTCCACGTAGACGATTAGTAGGATGTAGTCGTCGTTTTTTGTGAGCCGGTACATGCCTTGATCGTGCGGTAGTTGCTTGAAGCCGATGCGGATGAGGCGAGTGTGCAGGTACTGTTGCCACAGTCGCGGAGCCTGCTTGATGCCGTAGAGTGACTTGAGTAGCTGGCAGACTTGGTTGGGTTCTCTGTGGGAGCCGTGCGGTAGCTCGACGAAAATTTCTGCATCAACAGGTGCGTAGAGAAACGCGTTCGCGACGTCAATTTGTCGCAGCTTCTTCTTCATGGCGGCGATTGCGAGGAGAATGCGTAGTGAGGTGTGGCGGCTAACCGGAGCGAAAGTTTCGGTGAAGTCGCATCCGTGTTCTTGGTCGAAGCCGCGTACAACCCAGCGAGCCTTAAATTTGTCAATGGTGCCGTCAGCCTTTGTCTACAGACGGAAGACCCACTTCCCGGTGAGCACTGTCTTGTTCCGTGCCACGCCGATAGGAACCACTTTCCACGTGTTGCGTTCCTCCAGTGCCTTCAGCTCCTTGTCCATGGCTTCGCGCCATTTTTCCTTATGCTCCCCCCCCCAGAGCCTGTTGAACCGTCGCAGGCTCTTTAGGAATGGCGGTGCCGTGGACTGCGGTGACGAGTCCGAGAATTTGCAGTCCACTCTGTGAGTAGCGGGGAAGATTTGCGTCCTCGGGATAAGCTGCTTCATCTCCCGCTTCTGGATCAGGTATGAAGTTGGGTCCTACTCGTTCTGCTTCGTTGGTGTTGACTGTCGCAGGTGTTACGTAACCGTTGTCGGCGAAATAGTAGAAGGTTTCGGCGTTGACACTTTCGCGAGGGTTATCTTCGTCCATGGGAACGTCCACGGAGCAGAATGGAAGAGGTCTGGCTTCTTCTGATGCGTTGTCCACATTCTGCTCGTCCCAGTCAGCTTCGTCCGTTGCTGAGGCGAAGGCTCGGTCACCGCGAAAACCACCTGTGGGATCCTGGTCTTCTTGCAGGTTGGCGAGGTATGTCTGGAGCGTGAGTCGTTCGTAGAAAATTACATCACGTGCTGCTACTGTTTCCTTGGAATGGACGTCGAAGATTTTCCACGCGTTGTAGTTCTTTTCGATTCCCAGGTGTAGTCCCCACTGTGCTCGTTGAGAAAATCGGCCCGCTCGTGCTGCTGGGGGTCGGTACTGTACCATGCATCCGAATACTCGTAACATTTTTGTGCTGCCCTGTTTCCCTGTCCATAGCAGATGCGGTGATGCGTTGTTTGGAAGCGATGATGACGAGAGCAAGTTGTGCAGCACGATGGCGTGGTCCATTGCCGCAGGCCACTGGTGGTTGGGTAGCCGCATGCCACGTAACAGTTTGCGCATGCTGTTCTGCAAGGTCCTGTTCATTCTTTCTGCTACACCTTGCTGCTGATGGGCGTAGGGAAGGGAGATGAGCCGCTTGATTCCCCTTTCCGCCAGGTACTGCTTGAATCGCTGAGAGGTGTATTCTCCTCCTCCGTCTGACTGGAAGCTTTCAGTTTCACGCCCGATTCTCTCTCTGCTACTGGTAGCCAGGCAACGAAGGCTGCGAATGCCATGTCGCGGCTAGGGAGGTTTAGGTGCCAGACGTAACGGGTGGCGGCGTCGATGAAGGTGATTGTATAGTTGTATATTACTTGTCCTGGTTCCCGATTGTACAGGATGTCGCTATACACCTTTTCGAGTGGTGCGTACGCGGGTGCGCTCGGGTTGTGATGAGACGCAAACGGTCGATGTGGTAAGTCACCTTCAGGGCAGGTGAAGCACGTTCCGCGTACTCGTTGAAGTTCTCGTCCGTCGGTCAGTAGGAGTGAGTCCTTGTCGAGTACTCCTGCTCTTATCGTATTGTTTAATACTGTGTTGCTTGGGTGTCCCATCCTTGCGTGCCAGGTGCTTTCGTCGGCGCGATGTCCGGGTGATCGTCGGTACATATCGGAGTTGGAGTAGAAGTTGGCGGTGAAGTTGGCGCTACGATGAACTTCTTGTGGTGCTGGGTGTAGTTGTTGCGCGGGTGTCGGTGGTGTGTCGTCGATGAGGAGCGGTGTCGTTGAAGGACCAGCAATTGGTGTTGACGTTCCTGCTGCTGCCGTTGATGGTTCTGCTACTGCCGATGTTGTCTCTGCTGCTGCCGATGTTGTCTCTGCTGCTGCCGATGTTGTCTCTGCTGCTGCCGATGTTGTCTGAATTGTTGCTAACGCCCTTGTTCTTTCTGCTTCAGGGATGGTGTGTGAGTACCAGAAGCCTTCTGGACTGAAGTCTGGATCAAGGTCTGGAGGGTGTGTCCAGTTGGTGAAGTTAACGATGGCGTCGCTGTCGGCGGTGCCAAGATCAGGAACGAAATCAAGAACGAAGACGTTGTTCTTGAGGACCGCTTTGCCGATGTAAAGTCCTCCTCTCCCATGATACAGTTTGAATTCTTGGGTGGTGCTGTCTGCTTCGAGGTGAATCCCTTTCGCCATTAGCTGACTGACGCTCAGTAAGTTGTAGCCGAGTCCCTCTGTGATTAGTACTTTTGACATCTGCAGTATAACGTTTGTTTCCCTTGACTGAAGTTGAACTACGCCTTGTCGTCGTGTTCGCATGTTCTGATTGTTGGCGACTGTAATGACAACTTCGCGTTGAAGTTGGTGTTCTCGTTGAACGAAGCGTCCCGAGGAGCACATGTGCTGTCCTCAGCAACTGTCCAAGAACCATGTGTCTTTTCCGGATGGTTCGCTTTGGGCGATGGCGGCGTATGTCGGGTTCGGCTGAAGTGACTCGCGGCGGGGTGTGGTTTCGTCGAGTTGTTCTTCCGGTGAGTAGTGTGGTGGTGACTCGGTGATGTAGGAGTCACTCAGCTTTGCCATGCAGCTGACGATGTTTCTTGCTCCTTGTGCAGGTTGTCCCGTTGAAGTCGTTGAGGCTTGAATCTGGGTCGTGGGATTTGCTTGCGTTGAGGCGATTTGGCTGCTTGAAGGTCGAAGTTGCCGCTGTGGAGTTGTTGACTGTTGACGATTTGGGCAGTGCGTACGCGGGTGTCCTGAAGTTTTGCAGATGTGGCAGAACGGAGGTACTGGCTTCGGTTGTTGCTGCCGGTTGTTGTTGTTGT